CAGCATGTTCATAGCCTTGCTGCCAAACCAGTATGGCTTCCACTCTCTTACCCAACACAGATAAAGCATGACCTAATTTCAAACATTAGGCATTGAAGTTTATAATGCATTCATGTCTCAAAGCAAAGGAACTAAAAGTTGTCTATAACTCTAAGGATTACCATTTCTTTAGAAATAGAAAAGTTAGAATCTGAAAAAAAAAAGTACAAATATATCACTTTACATTTCCACTTCTGTTACTAATTTAGTTTACTGTTATCTTTTTCATTTCCTCATAGAATATTAGCAGTATCCCTTCAGAAACGGAATCAGGTAACATATGTGATGCTTAGTAAGATACACAGATAACGCTAAAAGCAACAAAGCGGCTCTTGTTGCACGTGCTGTCTTATCTTCAGCCACTCCTTCGTAAACAAATGCATGCAGAAGGATCCGAGGAAACATGGACTTATGGACTACCATACATCATGTTGACACCTTGCTTTATTAAATAAATAGTTTTGATACAGTCTTTTAAAAGATGGATGGTGAAAGGTGTTGAACAGTGATAAGTATAACAGCCAAAGTACGGGTTCCAGAACTATCATACTTATGCATGGAATAATTGAAATGTCCCTTTCCATATCTCATATATCCATCTCTATTTTTCCGGAAAAGATTAAATTCCAGTTATAGATCTCAACGGACTGAGCAATAAAAAAAAGGAGAAGAGTCCAAAAAGACTTGATAATCTGTCAGTTTCACCCATCACCCATCCAGGTAGCATGTAGCATAAAGGAAAAAGTTTTCACCTTTGCAGAGATTTCAAACTAAATGTGATACATATAAATCGCGAAAGCTGGCTACAAAGATGTGAAACCTCGAAGAACTCACCACCGATAGTGGTTGACTTCGCTTACAAAATATCTACAAGCAAACTTTGTTTATCTTTTCGCAAATTCAAAACGCGTGTCTACAGTAACTATCCTTTGGTTCTCGTATTGATGCATTTGATCAGTTAAATTAGCCAATATAATTCACCAAAACTCTGTAACAAAGAAGTGAAATGAGAACCTTTGAGTATGTAAGGTTGTAGTGAGGAAGAATCCAGCAGAATCGCCTTATTACAATCCTTAATAACATGCTTGTGAAGCTCCAGTTGACTATAGCAAAACGCTCGATTGCTGAATAATTAAATAAAGTCGCCACATTAGTAATCCATACACCAGAAGTAAATTTAAGAATACAAAAGGTTCATATATTACCGCTGAAATGAAGTGAAAAAAGAAAAGAGGAAATGAGAAGCTCAACGAACCAGATGTCTTGGATAAGGCAGCTCTTGGAAATAAGAGAATCGAGAAGTCGAATTGCCTTTGACCAATCTTTGGCACTGCATAGCTTCGCCAGCTCGATTCTGTCAGCAACCGCCGACTCCATCGGAGAAGGAAGGTCCAATAAGCCAGCGGATAGGAAGATGGTAAAAGTATCCCTGATCCAGGATGGTGTTTCTGATCAGCTCTTCTACTTCCACTAATCCACTCCCTATTCGATTAGTTAAACTATGAGGCCATTGGCAAACCTCTTTTTGTACTTATCATGTTTATCACTCAATTATTCACCAAACACCTAATGTTTGTACATGAGCATTTTAGTTATTTTTAGCCAATATTTCGTATTTTAATGATTTTACAATAATAATCTATATTGAAAAAGTCAACACAAATAATCCAAATTCATAAATATGTCTACATAGATAGAATAAACCTTTATAGATAGATTATCATCCTTCAAGAAAATAATTATAGTAATGATAAAATAGTAAACTCAAATTTATGACAATGGCAAACATAGTCAATATTGTATCCTTATATATTAAATATCAAAAATATTAATCTAATCTATCTATGTAGACGTGTTTATGAGTATGAATTATTTATGTAGACATCTTCGGTAGGAATTAGTATTGTAGAACTGCTAAAGGTATAGATTATTGATATGAATTTCACTATTTTTTTCTTTATTTATTAATAAAATACTACGTACATTTTAAAAAGAGAAAAAGAGCAAATAAGTTCTCGAACTATTTGCGTTTTTGCAATCAGACCCATGAACCGGAAGACTTGCAGATACACCCCTCAACTCGTTGAAAATTAAGCAATCAAAACCTTTTTAACTGTTGGTGCCAGCAATTTCGCATCTCTTTACCTGCACCAGCAGGTAAAAAATGATCTGATTGCTTAAATTTCAACGAGTTGAAGGGTGTATTTGCACTTCTTTCGGTTCAAGGGTCTTATTGTAGAATCACAAATAGTTCGAGGGCTTATTTGCCTCTTTTCTCTTTTAAAAAAGAATCTTAAATCAGCAGAAACAGCCAAATCAGCCGATTTTTGTGGTATCAAACGGACTCTATATGTTTTGAAGGAATATAAAAAATATATAGTGAACACCCTCAATAATGTAAAAATAGTACTCCCTATGCAAATATTATGTCAGAAAATGTATGAAGAATGGGAAAAGGAATACTCCGTATTTAAAGTATGGAACAAAAGATGAAAAAGTACCCAAAAAATACTTTTACCAAAAATCAAGCATGTCAAATTATTAAATAGTTCTAAGAACATATGTTGCAACTTGAAACTAAAAAAATATGAATGGGTAAATGAAATATGTTACAATATTACTGCATTATTCGCATTTGTTATATAATAGTGAATCTTGAAATCTTCAATTGAGTAAATTGCTTTTTAAATTTGTTAAGTTTGTCTTTTATCCTGGGGTCTCTAATTCTAGAATTCATTCAATTTAAGGACAATGTGCCAAAACTAATTTTAGTGTTTTGGCGTTGATCTCTTCATTGGAGCCCCCTTGCAATTTGTGTTTAAGAGATATATTAATGACTATGAATTTTTCAAAAGGTTGTGTGCCCGTTTTAATAGTCCTAGTTTGAGGGGGTGTATGCCCTTTCATGTGATAGATTGTGTCTTGTAGACTTGTAGTGAATGATTGAATTGCATTAATTCTTAGAGACTGGCTCTATACGAGTATAAGATAGTGATTCTCTTGACTAAAAATATCAAATTAGAGTTGTCTAATCCCTTGTACTAAATTTTCGTGAAACGTGTGCTTTCTTTTGATATTTCTAAAACTTTGAGAATTAAGAAGGAAGATGAAGGTTGAAGCGGGTGGGGAAGGTAAGAAGCCAATGACGAGGTAAACTAAATAATAGTAGTATATATCTTCTTCACATTTTAACATTTTTATGGTGGAAAGATTTAGGAGATTTAAATATAAAACCTCAAACTCTCCCTCTCATCATTGTTAGGATGCAACTCCCATTCAAACATTTCTTGTACTCACACACAAGAGGTCGTTTCACCTTCAACAAATTGAGTGTCGTTGTATTTCCAGTGCGACCCTCTAGAGAAGACATCACAGATAGGTCAACGCCTTCACGTTTTCAGCAAGAAGCAAAGTTACACTCATATAATACCGATTGATACGAGACTCAACCATGGTTGTTAAAATCTCGATTTAAATCGTAAAATCGTAAAATCGTACAAAATCGTAAAAAAATCGTCCTAAAATCGTGTAGAATCGTATAAAATCGTAGCAAAATCGTAATAAGTTGTTTTTGGTGAAAATGGTTCAAATTTATTAAAATTAACAACTACAAATTGATACATAATGCCATTAATAATAATATGAATCGTTTATTTATAAAAGTAATGGATTCTTGTGTTACTTAATTATTTTTATGTTACATATGTTTAATGTTATTATTCAATACATTTACATTATAAAAACAGTTTATAAATCTTGCTTTTGACATTTTAGGTATAGTTTTATGTAATGAAATGATATAATATCATTAACTTGCAACCTAATTTTAATACTACCTCCGGGTTTTTTTAATCTTCACAGTTTGACTTCACACAAAATAAGGAAAGAAATTTGACTTTACTGTAGAGTACACTGTTGAGGCACTGTTTGACACTGTTTGGCACTGTAGAGACACTGTTTGACACTGTTGAGACACTGTTCGGCACTGTTTGGCACTGTTTTGATGTAGATTTCTTTGCCAAAAAAGGAAACAAGGAAGTGTGAAGTTTATTTTAGACCGTCCCAAAAAGGAAAGTGTGAAGTTTATTAAAAACCGGAGGGAGTATTTATTTATTTTATAATTATTAAAATATGTTTGGTAAAATCTTACGATTTGCGATTCGATTTTACGATTCGATTTTTAAAAACATCTACCGATTCGATTCAAAAATACGATTTTAACAACCTTGGACTCAACACTAATTAAGCAATGACTAGAGCTAGTCTCGGAGGGATAGATGATCATTAAACAATTGCACCCGCGACACAAATTTAATGGTTACAAAATGGCAAGAGTGGGGGTGGCTTGAGTGGAACACATCTCGCGCATAAGGTACTAACTTGTGGGAGATATTGAAGTCAAGTCACCAAGGAGGTGAATTTGTGAGGCTTTAATCCTCTAGCCCCTAAAACTAGCTGGAGTGATTGTGTAATCAATATTTTATCTCGCTTCAAATAGTAATATCAAATTTAACTCCTTGCTTAAAATATCATGTTGCTTAATCAATATGTGATGGTTCTTTGAGGATGCGTGTTAGAAGCTTAAAGATCTGCACAATCAATTGAGAGTGATTCGTTATGTATGCATAAATGGGATTGAAAATTTTAACAGATTGTTGGAATGACTCGAATTTTATCTCTCAAGTTTGAAGGGGTTTAGGAAAGCCTAAAATTTAATATCTGGCGTAATACATCAAGTAAAAATTTGATTTCAAAATGGAACCAGTTTACACGTAGTATACACCTTTCATTTTTTTTCTAGTTTAAACATTTTTTTCTAGCTTCTTGACTATTTTACTCTTTTTCCTTCAAGTACCTTTCTATCATTGAGTGTGCTTGATGAGGTTTCATTTGAATTGCTGAAGCGATTAATTTCAATCACATTGGCATGAATGATGAAATGTTGTTGACTTGAATTGCACTAAATAAATAGATAAATAAAATAATAAATACGTAGTACATACGTAAGAACTCTTCATTTGAATGCCAATTAATAGTTCATTACAAATCATACATAATTCAGCTAAATTTCATTAGCTAACATGACACACTTAAGGAAATCGCCTACCTAAGCGAATACATCAGTGGAATTCCCTACTCATAGTCACATCTAAATTTACCTTACTCCACCAAAAATGAAAAACAAAAAAGGGGAAAGGACTGCTAGTATTACTCCCAGTAAAGGGATCTAATGATTCAAATGATTTTATTTCTTCACATTTGGGCTCTATAAAGGCACTCAACATACCATGCTACTGCTAGCCGTACAGGCTAATATATATAATAATAAGTAGCTTTCAGGGCCCAAATTTTCTTCCTTATCCAATATATCCCACTTAGTCAGCATTCAGCAAAGCACAACTTTTGACTGATGATCAAGGGTTTCTTGAACAAATTCCCTACAATTGGGATGCTTCCTTCCTAGGCTTGGAAAATGGCAGTTCCCGTGAAACAAGGTATATTATGAATGCAATATATGCAGCTGTGAATGTGAATATGGCAGAAGAAAAGGCCACTCCTCTAATTTCTGAGGAGAAAAAGTCTACCATAAGGTACCCATTGATTGCAATCAGGAAGATCGCTACTAGCCATGATATGACCTACATACAAACGGCAAGACATAGAAACAATTACAAGGAAATCCACAAAACATGTACCAGGCTAAGAACAAAGTACAGGTTGTTTAACTTATTTCGGTAGCATTACCATTGTAGGATGAAAGAAATTGCTCCCTACTGGAAAAGGCACAGGTTTTTTCTCTATAACATTTAGCCATTTAGGTTTTAATCCTAAAGTATAATTCTTTTAGTTCTATTAAAAGAAAGACAGCCTCATAATTAGTATCCAACATTCCAACATAGCCTTAAATCGTAAGTATAATCCATGGGTGAGTGACTCACTGACCACCCTCACCACATACGTGATCTGCCAACTAGGATTTCAGTAAATCATGATATTGTCTAATAGATGGTGGTCATTGAGTTAGTGACTCGACTAGCTAACTTTAGAGAGATTGCCATGGCTGGAAGGTGTTGGCTACTAGGTGGCGGCGGCACTGGCCGACAAAGGTAAGGATTGGCAGCTGATAAAGATGGACCTGGACCAGTTCTGGTTAGAGGTTCAAAATTATACCTACCCTTAAGGCCCCGCCCATCCGTGTAATTGATCACTAATGGGGGAATGGGTGGGGCAATTGTGCTTGAGGATTAGAGATAAAGAAAATCATAACCATACCTTGAGAATAGGGCCAATAGTGAAAACACCCATGAGCTGTTCCTTTGAGACTAAACAAAGAAGGGGAATGAGAGCAAATGGGATTTGGATTGCCTGAAGAACATTGAGCCACTCATTCAGAACATCCAACAAGACCTCAGAAGTGTCAAAGGCGAGTGCAACAATCAGAGTTGGGATAATAGCACAACTTCTTGTTATCAATGCCCTTTGCCATTTCTTCAAGCTCATATGAAGGAAGCCTCCCATAATAAACTGCCCAGCATAGGTACCTGTGATAGTACTACTTTGCCCTGCAGCCAACAACCCAATAGCCCATATGAACATAATGGGAAACAACCCACCACCATACTTATCCTGAAGAAACTGCCCTGCATTCCCCAGCCCAATGCTGTTAGCCTGGTCAGTTCCAAAGAATGACTTGGCAAACACAGATGTGACAAACAGGTTGATGATGAAGGAAATCGCAAGGGCGGCTGCGGACTCAATCGAGTAGTAGTTTATGGCTTCTCGGACTCTGCCGGGCTTCCGGGTGTCCACATCTCTAGATTGAACTAAAGCAGAATGTAGGAATACATTGTGAGGCATGATGATGCACCCCACAACGCCCACTGCCTGCTTTATTGTTTTGGAGCCAAGCTTTGGGATCAAAACACCTAACATTATTATTATCACAACAAATCAGATTTAAGTTATTTGCGGTGAGTGGTTCAAGAAAAGATTCAACAATGTTTTTGACAAAAATGACCTCAAGCCATGATGTATGAGCTATCCTCCCTTATTCAATTAAGAGGTAATTCCGGAATTCTGAACCTTTTCTTGAGAAATTGAAGGTTTCAACAAGATGGTGGTGGGGGTGCTCTTACCAAGAAGAAGCTGAACACCACTGGGTTTTGTGTCCCCAAACATCCAAGCAAAAGAGAGTGCCATAACAGCAATAAGGACAGCAAAAAGTGCTTCTAACTTCCTCACACCATAGTTCTCGAGAAATAGAAAGATGAAGCTGTAACAGTATGAAACAAACAGTAGCTTTTATTATGAGCCGAATGATGGATTTAAATTGTTTAGGAGGCACTACATATCACTTCTCTGCAAATGGATTTAGTGGAAATAAATGCAGCCACCTATTTTGTTCTTTTAATTAATGTTTTCTTTCAAATTAGATTTAGCACTACCTTTTCCCAGTTTACAAGTGCTCCTCTATCTGACAATTTCTCAACTTCTAGTTTATTAAAAAAATATAAATTTTGCCAAAAAAAAAACAAAAAAAAAACATAAATTATATCATAAAATGCTCTTTAACCCATTTGTTTAACTCATTTTCGAGAGGGAGAGCAAGAATAATATGCTAATAAAGAAATATTAGATCTTCTCAGATGTATGAAAAAAATAATCTTTTACTCCATACAGCTCGCAATTAAACACTCCTTATATGTTAAACAAATGATGCCTCCATGATCTTTAAGCAGACATGAGACACCATCTACCTCTCTGCTTAAATTCGGGGCACATAAAAAATGGAAATGCCTACATGTGAATTTTTTTAGTAAAAAAATAATTTTTAACCTAATTACAATACGGAGAGTATACACCAATAATTAACTTTCAGAAAAAAGTTTTTTGAAAAAAATGCCAAAAAGTGAAAATCTAGAGACCTTCCCCGGGAGGAAATCGAAAATAATGAAGAAATAGTCAAAAATTCCAATCTGACACTATGGCGTAAATATGATTCTGAAAAGGGGCCATGAAATTATGTAGTGGTTTAAGATGAAAATTACCAGTCAGAAGCAGTAATCACAACACCAGCCCAGAGAGGCAGGAACCCTTTACTGAGAATCTTGATGGCAATAGCGCTGCCAATCACCTCCTGGATATCAGCCCCAATCAGGGCAAGCTCAGTCATGATCCACAGCAGAAGCCTGGTCCACCTGGGGTACTCATCCCGGCAGAGCTCCGCCAGGTGTTTTCCGGTGGCCACCCCGAGCCGGGCCGAAAGGAGCTGGACCAGAAGGCCCATAGCCGTGGCCCACAGGAGCAGCCACAGCAAGGAGTACCCCGCAATCGCACCTGCCTGGAGATCGCTCTCCAGGTTCCCGGGGTCGAGAAAGGCGATGCTCATCAGAAATCCGGGTCCGGTGAAGAGCCAGAGCTTCTTCCATGAAAATGGCGGCGTCTTGGTGTAGTCGTCCTCTGCTTCAGGCTCGTCGACTCCGATTACGTGGACTTTCTCCGAAGTATCATATGCCCTTTCTTCTACTGCTACTTCACCCGGATCGAGCAATCGGGTCGAAAGCGCCCGATTCTTCTGCTGCTGGTCGCCATAGCTGGTCGGCATTTCTCCTATTTCTTACTATATATGTATGGTTGTATTATCGCCGGACTACAGCCGGAAATAGCCTTGAAGTAACGGTGAAGGAGTGAGGGGAGTAGTGGAGGGTTTGGATATATAGGGCGACACGGGGAAGATAATGTATGCTCTTCGACACGGACCGCCGCAGGCGTGGGGACCAGTTCATCCGTCAAATTGTATGTAGCGTTAATAAGAAAATAATTTTGACACCAAAATATCAAAATAATTCTGGCATCAAAAATACAAATAATAAATTTGTTATGCAATTTTACGTATAAATCAAGAACATTACTCCCTCTGTCCACTTTGTCAGTTTTTCTTTTGTTGTTGTCCCAATTTTTTTTGTAAAAAAAAAGGATGACACACCATCTCTGAGGGCCCCAACATCGACCGGAGGTCAATTATATATATAATGAACATTTCTAATCAATTCAACGTTCCTTGGCCAACAACCAATGATCGTCGTTGCTTTACTCCAGGATGAGGTCATGCGGAGCAAGGTTTACTTCAGTCTCCAGAAGACGACAGACCAAGAGCTCTCTCTTCCCAGATGACAGACGAACTATCTTTCTCCAATCAGTCTCCCATCTTCGCGGCGGCACTATCGTGAACTGTAGCGATTAAGAGCGATATTTTTCTACTTAATAAAACTATGTCGTTTGGGATCGGGAGCACCATGTACATGGTGGGACGATCTCACGATATAATTTGCGTTTTTCTTTTGTTGTTGTCCCAATTTTTTTTGTTACTTTCCCATTTGTAGTCCACTTCATGTCTTCATTTACCACTCCTCTAAACAAATTTTAATTACACAACTTTTATTTTTCTTATTTCTCACCTAACTTCAATTTCAATCAGACGGATTGATTCTTCTTTCCTTTTCTGTTCATTCCACTAATATCATCTCATATGTAGTACCAAATTTAATAAATTCTGTGTGATTCTAAGTAATTCCTTGTTCCTACATTATCAATCTAATATCTGCCATATAAACTCAATTTTCTTAATGAGTGGGTCATTTAATATCTCCTACGTAGTATCTTACTTGTCTTACTTTCTTTTTTTGACTTGTCTCAAAATAAATGTCATTTTTCCCTTTTGGAAAGAAAAACATGGTCCATGATATTTCAATTTATTATACTCAAGTCTCTACCATAACTTTTACCTTTTCAAACACTTCATTAACAATTATCTCAAAGTCAAAGGAGACACATTAAATGTAATAGAGATAATATTATTATTATTATTATTATTTTGAGATAATATTATGTATTGTAGAGTAATACTCCCTCCGTCCCAATATAAAAGGCACACTTTCCTTTTCGGTCCGTCCCAATATAAAAGGCACATTTCCCTTTTTGGCAAACAAAACAGTGCAAAACAGTGCCAAACAGTGTCCAAACAGTGCCAAACAGTGTCAAACAGTGTTCAAACAGTGTTCACCCTTAAAATGTCTAGAAATGCAAGTGTGCCTTTTATATTGGGACGGAGGGAGTATTTATTACCTCATATCCCCGTGTAAAGGGGTTATGATGTGACTTTTAATTTTTCTTTGTTCTTTTTTTCTTTCTTCATTATCTTTCTGAGGTTAGTCAGCTCATGTCGTATCATCTTCCTGCCGCACATCAGGTTCGCCACCCCCACGTCGTCTTCTTTGCTTAAGTACTCTTATATTCTTCATGCTTTCAAAGTTAGGCTAAAGTTATCTCCACCATCTCACGCTTTGTGTATCGTCCATATATTTAATTGTGTGCGAGATTAAACAAAGTATTTTTAATTTTTCCTTTTTTTAGAATTTTGTTTCTTAATTTTTGGGTGTTTTTTTATAAAAATAAAGTTGATGCGAGTATCCGAAATTTTAAAGTAACTACCAAAAAAGATGGAAACTTTTAATGAATTCCATATACGGTACGAGAACGTGATGTACGAGTAATCTAGACTATTTGATACGAAAATGTTTCTGATACGTCGATACGATACTCTAGTGAAGTATGAATGGTACTCCGTACATATGAACTAACATGTGTCACTGACTCACTAGTTTTCTTTTTAAATATAATGATAATTTGATGATTAATTAAACACTTTTCCCGGATTACATTCATATATACTTCCGTGGTACCCCTAAGTTTCTTAAATGAGGAAAATGTAATGGTACATTATTAAGAAATACTCCGATAGACATTAAATTAACCGATATATATTAAATTGGTAGAGTAAAAACAAAGTAAGAACGGTTTACAACTATACAAACATCATCATATTTGATTTTAATAGAAAGATAAAAAAAAGTAAGAAAATCTCAACGGGACAAGAGTGTTACAAAGTAGTTCATTAATCGGTGAAAATAAACAACTATTCATGACTTGTATCATAACAATAATCATATTGTTATTGTACTCCCTCTATTTCATTGAATTTTGCCTGCATTCTTTTATTATTTTTCTAAAAAGAATCTTTTTTATTTATAGTAAATGATTTGTACGGATAATTTTCTCTTACATTTTGCACAACTCTCTACCATATAATTTTAACTTTTTTTGTACTTAGAGCCCAGTTGGTGATGTCATCTTAAACTTTTCAGTCTTACCCATAAGCTTTTTGAGCAAACATGTATGCAGTAGTTATTTACTTTGAGCGATGATGTTTGTAATAATCAAAATAAGTAAAATTAAAGTCATTTTTTGGTTAAATTGACTAAGGTATTGTAGAAGACAATTTTAAATATTTTTCATATAATTTTTTCTTAGTTTTATAAATAAAATTTTTTTAAAAGTATTTTTAGTCTTTTTATAATTCAATATATTCAACCATTTTTTAAAAACAAATTTCAATAAATTTAACGGTTTCTATCGATTTGAATAGAAACGTCTGCTATACAATTTTTTATCAAACAGGACAAGTAATACAGTAATTTATTACTCCATACTATACAATTGCATTGCCAATGATAGTGGACACAATACTACACACTGCAGAATGATTGAAGTGCATATCATCTTGAGAAACTATGTACTTGATTTTGACACTAATTTTGGTTTTAATATGTCAAATTTGTTCTACAAAACCTAACTAAAATTGATTTGAATGTAGATTAATAAAACAAAAATTGTATCGTTGAAATTAGTGCAAAGGGGACTGAAATAATTTTAGCCACATATGTTTAACTTTAAATGAAAAATACAGAGACCGTTTGGTACCACTGTTTTCGGGTTATCGGGCTTATTAGCCAACTTTTTCAACAAACACGTAACTTTTGATTTCGTACGTTGAATTGTGTAATAAGCAGAAAAAGTAAGGTTTGAATTACTTTTCTGAATGTATTGGCTGAAGTTACTGTAGATAACCATTTTATCTTCTTTTTTTACATATAATTTTTTCTTTATTTTATTAATAAAATACATTTTTAAAATAATTTTTTCTTAAATCAGGCAATGCAGCCACTTCAGCCAGAACTTCATAATTTCAGCAGAATCAGCCAAATCAGACGATATTCATAAAACGAGCTCACAAAGTTTTTTGCGAGGACCAAAATCGGAAATTTGCGTTAGCCCCATTTATGGTATTATGCATATTTTTTAGTCTTTGGTATTATGCATATTTTTTTTTACTCTGTGGCATTCTTTAAATCTAATTAAGTCCCATTTAGAGATCGTTTGGAACCACTGTTTTTCGGTTTATCCACCAAACACGTATAAATAATGAATTTTACCCCCTCTGTCCACTTTGTCAGATTTTCTTTTGTTGTTGTCCCAATTTTTTTTGTTACTTTCCCATTTGTAGTTCACTTCATTTACCACTCCTCTATACAATCTTTAATTACAAAACTTTTATTTTTCTTATTTCTCACCTAACTTCAAGTTCAATCAGACAGAGGTAGTATATAGTACTAGTTTTCAAGCCAGTACATAATTTAACTAATTGTAAATTTGATCTTTTCAGAATCATATATGTAATATAATTTAATATGATGTAAAAGCAAAATAAATTCAATCAAATATAAAGTCATTTGATACTACTAAAATGAATAGAATTGTCTGACTCTACTGTAATGAATTAAATCTAACTGATTGGGCTAAATTAAAATGTAAAATAAAATATACTACGTATACGTATATAATTAATAAAAAAATCTAAAATTATATGAAAATATTTAAAATGGACTTGTACATAAGCATCTCAACTGAACATAATTGTTATGAACCCGATTTTAAAGAATTCACACAAAAATTTCTTAATTAATTTCACATTATATTACTTCATTAAGCATCTCAAAATACTATTTTTTTAAATATTTCTCATTCAACATGGTATGAAATAAGTATTTATAAATTTATTATTTCGTTACATTGAGAATGTAAGAAAATGGAGCATTTTTTACAATATACTACTAGTAATTTATTTCGTCACATTGAAAACGTCATTAACAAGATATACGTAGTATTAAATTAGATTGACAATTTCAGTTCTAATTTGCTCTAAAGTAATACAGTGTGGAAGATTTCTATTATATGTATGTATAATAATACTAATTATTATTATTATTATTATGATTGATGTTTGATCTGATCTTGTCTGAGACTGAAACCAGTTGAATTAAAAACATTCTAAATGTATGAAGATTTCCTAATTTGGGTTAGGAATCTATTACAGAAGTGGAGGAGTATTTAAATTGTAGTTGTAAAAATAAAGAAAAAACTAAACATATTTACTTTTTTTGGTTGGGCTAAACAACATGTTTACTTGTGAAAAAAAAAATATTAATATTTATGATATGATTTTCCATCCTAATAAAGGTAAGATACTTGATCAGAAGTTTTACATGTTTTCATATATGAACGTCTAATACTCTAATAGTATATATCAATTTCATTTTTAAGTTAAAAAGTCTTGTGGTAATTATTTCCAACAACTAAGAAAATATTTACATGATTGCAAATCTATCTAAGGCTTGTAATTTTAGTCATTATCGCATTGAGTTTAGAAAACATGCAAAAAAAGAGACTGAGTTTAGGAAATAAAAATTACATTTTATTCTTTTTATTTTTTATTACAAATAAAAAAGGGATGGCTGAATCTGTGTCATACAAATTAATACGGAGTAAGTAGAGGTTCAAAAAGTTACGTAGTATAAATAAGGTGGATTCGTTTGCAACAAAAAATAATAATAA